ATTCCAATTCATAAACCATACATGAAACAACACTGAAATTTGGATAAAACATGATTTCATAACTCATAAATAGATAATAACACCAAAAACAAAAACAAAAAAACGATGGGCAGAAATGAGAAAACTCACGGAAAAATCCAGAATCATAGCAAAATCTAGAAATATTCATGGGTAGCACTACTAGCACAATGCACAAGCACAGAAGCACTAGCAAGTAGCAAATAGGAAATAGGCAAATAGAAATATTGATTTCAATTTTTTAAGGAATCAAGGGGCAAGATTTTTGAGTTAATACGGTAATACCTGTACAGGCAGCCGCAGGCAGAACGCAGACGAGACGAAGCTCCAGCCTCCAGCTATTGCACCACCGTCCTCCGTGACTTCGTCCGCCCGTCTCGACGGCGTCAAAGACTCACAGCCACAGGACCGCACTCAGACCGCAGTAGAATTGCGCCCTCGCCAGTCGTTCGTCTCCCTCCTCTGCCGGACCTAAATGAATTGGATTTGGTTTTGTAATTGTTGTGGCTAATGGACTTTCAAATTTCAACCCATGGATTGCAGGATTGGGCTCATTAATTAGGCCTTATTTTTTAAATAAGGCCCAAACAAATGAAACAATAAGAAGGGTGGAAAAAAAATTATAGCGTGTCTTCTTCATCTTTCTTCACGGCGGACGGCGAGTAGACGGCGAGACCTGAAGATTCCGATGGACCCAGCACGGGCGGCCGCAGGGGCTGGCCAGGTGCTGGGACCGCCCCTGTCCCCATTGAGAAACACACTACAAGTCATGGAGGAAGATGAAATACCTAGTATAGATGCCTCCACCACTATGTACTGGCACCAATTAGAAATTTAAATCCCTTATCATATATTCAACAAAATGAAAAAAAAAAAAAATGGTACGATCAACATTTAAGTTTATTCCGGTATATCTGAATCACTTTAACAGAACAATACAAGAATGAAAAGAATCCCAAAGTTGTAACAACACTATTGATATACCGTTATACAGCACCTTGGTTGGTTGGTTGACGAATCTTCTCTCCTTGATCGAC